TTTTATGATTATTATAGCTGGAATAATGATGTTGCTTTGTAGAGTTGGATTTATTCTTCTTTAGCAAACTGCTATGCTCAGAGCAGCTGTCATCATCCATCACAATAGTAAGGTAATTTTGTTTTTGTGGGTCTGTACCTTTAATGCCTAGCGTCTAGTGGGAGTGGTGGTGCCAGGCTGGAATTCCTGCGGTTTTGGTCCACCGGCTCTTGTACTTGTTCAAAAAAGCTGTTTTTAGTAAAATAGATGAGTAAGATGGCTGAGCCAAGAACAGAATGTCTTTTGGCAGTGGCAAGTGAGGCAGATTATTTTTTTAATAACCTGAAATAAAATAAAGTTAAATAGTCCTTCTTGTATGCAGCAGAATGTTGGAACTGACACACTCTAAATATTTCTTTTTTTCTACATTGCTATTTCAAGAATTATTTTTGTTAGCTGTGTTGTAATTCTTTAGCTGGTCCTGCATGGAAGGAAAAAAGTATACATGAAATATTGTATGCATTTTCTGTATATTATCTGATAGATAAATGGTATGTTCAGGTGATCATACTGGATATATATAGGATTAGCCATTTGAAGTCAAAGGGATAGTATTTTCCTTTTTAATTTATTGTTGTTGCTTCTAGAGGAAGAGGGTGCTACTGCATGCAAGTTTTTATTCATCTGTATCATTTGTCAGCTTTGCGTCATATAATAGACCTTAGCTGACCTGCTCAGACCCCACCCCTGGTAATATTGCATGTTATCTTTTTTATTATGCCACACCTCCAGCTATTGGATTTATCCGGCGTAAAATTGCAAGCCGAGCTCTAGAAACACAAAAGGAATTGTCCAAAGGATGATCAATACCGTGGGTTAGTGATAAAAAATAAAACATAGGTGAAATGATAAAAAATATGCAGACTACACCCTTAGAAGCCATCTTCTAGGAAATGCAATCATATATTTACTAAGCTGTTATAGGATCATTGGTCAAAACAACACAACTGGCTCATTTCCAAAGCTACCATCATATTATATTGCCATATTCATTTGTTAAAAAAAAATACTATGAAAAAAATGTATGCGACCCTTCACTGGGACACTTGGCCACTAGCTCTCTCTGATAATTTTCACGCTGCGCTCACTTTGTAGCAGCCCCGTGAGCAAAGTGGCTTAACAGTGTGTCCTTTCTAGTGCAGTCTAGAGCCACTTCATAAAACATCTGTCAGCAATTTACCATACATAATTCAGTGGGAAACAATTGCGGAACAACATCAGAAAGCCACACCGCTCTCATTATATGTTTGGGGAATTTGTAAGGTCAGTAGCGGTGACCTGATTCACACAGGGTAGTATTTGCATTGTGGTGCTTTTAAAAATGCATATATTAAAAAGGCAGCAGATACGGTAATAAAAGTGTCCCGACTATGTGACTAGGGTTCCCTGAAGGGGGTAGGGAAGGCCACCCTATAGACCTAATGACATGGTGCTTACGGTCTCTCAGGGAACTGAGACAATCA